AGTGTTATGGGATTATCAAAATTTAAAATCCCATTTATAGTGCAAGAGATTTACACAGCAATTTACAGATGCAGAACAAGCCACATTTCCTGCCCTGAAGATTTTAAGCTGAGGCAAAGACCAGACACAGACAGTATGGGGAATATTACTGGTGAGGAGGCAAATGAAATTCCAAAGAGAAGAGAGCACTGAAGTTTAGTAGATAAAATGATGAAGACTGTTCTACATGGGGCCAGAGGGCAGCCTGATGGAAGGTGAAAAGAACAAAGTTGAAGAAAGAGACAAAGGCGGAGAGAGAAAAGGTTGTGTGTTGCCGAAGGAGCACAGGAGGGAAGATGTGGCAAGAAACTAGGAGCCACAGCAGAATTAAAGAAAGTACTTGAGGGTGTGTGGGGAGGGAATGTGAAACATGGCAGGAGGAGGAGGAGATGACTTTAGCAGAAGCGCTCCAAGTTCATGGAGGGTAGAAAGAGATGAGGGGAGAGGTACAGTACTCAAGGCAGGAGCCAAGCAAGGGCTCCAGGAGGGTTTGAGCAGCGAGGTGATGATGAGGCATGGGTGGGCTCTGATTAAAAGAGTGACAAATGCCTCTACCTCATGGTCAGTTAATCAGGGAGTAAGAACTGTCCTGGTAGAACGCAAAAAACTTTCCTGCATGCCAGAAAGATGGCAGGAAAGCAGCTCCTGGCTAGAAACTATACTACGCAGACAGGCTAGGCCACCAAAGCACTGCACGTAGAGTTCCAATCCTGACTAGGGACTTCCGCGGAAAGGAACTAGGGGGTAGGATCCATAGGGATGCAAATACCAGTTTGCAAGAATACAAACAGAACTGTCAAATGCAAGAATTCCAGAATACGGTAGTCTGGGTTACTCCAGATCACAACAGGGATTGAGAGTCAGGATGGAAACTATAGTAGTGATGTGCTCTCAATATCTTAACAAGGGGCTCCCACAAAGTTTTCCTTCTTGGTGTGTGATAATCCCTGCGTCCCTAGCATGTATATGCTGCAGAGATGAGAGGTAGGGGACTCAGGATGCTCATATAACCACAGCTGCAAATAGCACTCACTTCGCACTACAGATGGGAGGCAGACTGCAGCCCATCCTATTGGGCACAGACTTGGCTACAGGGATCCATGCTTTTGTGCACTTCAAGTTTGATCATTGCAGCTCACTTTACCTAGGAATGAAGCCACATACCCTGAGAAAGCTGTAGCTGATAATGTACCCCTGTGCTACAGGGTTACATTATCTCAAAGTCCTGGCCCGCGGGCCATCTGCAGCCCAAGAACCCCCCCACTGAAGCCTGCGGAAACTTTTTAAAAAGTTCTTTCATCCGGCCCTCACGGCTGCCGGCCGAGAGGGTCGGAGGGTGGGGGAGGCGGGAGGGGAGCAGGCAGGAGAGATGCAGCTATGTCAGCGGCTGTCTGCTGCAGGCACCGCCCCCCGCAGCTCCCATTGGCCAGGGAAGAGCGACAGAGATACCATCCCTAGTCACCAGGCAGCATCAGCCATGGAGGCAGCATCATTAGTTGCCGGGCAGAGTCAGTCATGGAGGCAAAAAGAACAGGAGTACTTGTGGCACCTTAGCGACTAACAAATTTATTTGAGCATAAGCTTTCATGGGCTTCAGCCAACTTCATTGGATGCATAGACTGGAACATATAGTGAGGAGATCTATATACATACAGAGAATATGAAAAGGTGGGAGTTGTCCTATCAACTCTAAGAGGCTAATTAATTAAGAGAAAAAGCATCACTAGTCGCTGGGCAGAGTCAGCTGGGGCAGCATGAGGCCCAGGGAGCGAGGGAAAAGGGTGGGAAATGGGCTGGGAGGTGGCGTGACTCGTGAGGCGCCAATGACAGTGCGAGGGGGCAAGCTGCCTCCAGCTCCCCTCTCCCCGAGTGCTGACCCCATAGCCAATGGAAGTGCCGGGGGACGGCAGTGTGCCTGGTGCCTGCAGATAAGATAAGGTGAAGATAAGATGAAAGGAAAGAGGTTCTTTCTAGCTGTTGGCACTGCAGGTCTGTGTAATGAAATGGAGCCCTTTATTTACTTTTTTAACCACTGTCCCATGTAATGTTGGTAGGTTGTGTAGGAGAGGCCATCTCAGCAGAGGCACTGAACCTGATGAGGGCATAATCCCAGACACACAGGGAGGGTTAGAACCACCCACTGCCCCATCTCTTTAGGGTAGTAGCCATGCGCCTCACCCCCTGCATCTGACCAGTGGGCAGACCATGACTGTGCCTCCTCTTCAGCTGCTTTTGTGCCCAAGGAGGCCCAGCCCAGCAAGGTCCTGCTGTCAGCAAAGCATGGAGTGTGGGAAAGTGGACCGAACACAACTATCTGATGCACACCTTGCTGAAATCCTGAAGGTTTCAACTGCTCAGTCACTGAGGCCAAACATCAACAAACTGACAGAACTGAAGCATTGCCAGGTGTCTGGCAAACACTAAAAACTCTCTGGCAGGTGAAGAATTGTATCAAGCTGTATGACAGTTTTATTATTTCTAAGAAATTCAAAATAAAAAATACAAGATAAATGTTTTCTTTTCTGAACACCATCTTCAGGGACATCATTGGCCTGCTGGGAGGATTTGAGGACTGGCTCTGACCCCAAGGTAAATTGAGTTTGAGACCCCTGCTGTAGCACATCTGCTCAATAACAAAGGCTACTGTGAAGACAAGGAGAGCTACTCCTGAGGGCGTTCTGTGACAAAAAATTAAAAATTCTGCACACAATATTTAAAAACTCTGCAAGTTTTATTTGTCAATAAATAAATGCAGAGGCTCAAGCATGGTAGATGGAAATGATAAAATTATCAATAATAATGCAGAAAAAACAAGTGGGGGGGGGGGGGGGAGAAACCAGATGATACAGTCTCATCATATGGTGATGACAACACTCTTTCCATTCCACTAGTATTTTGGTGGATGTTAAACAGCAGCTACTAAAGTTAGACATTTTAAAATCAGCAGGTCCTGATAATTTGCATCCAAGAGTTTTGAAAGAGCCAGCGGAGCAGCTCACTAGACCATTAACATAGATTTTCAGTAAGTTTTGATGAACTGGGGAAGTTCCAGAAGACTTGAAGAAAGCAAATATTGTGCCAATTTTTAAAAAGGGTAAACAGGGTGACCTGAATAGTTATAGGCCTATCAACCTGACACTAATCCTGGGTAAGATAATGGAGCACCTGATAAGAGACTTGATTAATAAAGACCAAAAGGAATGTAATGTAATTAATGTGAATCAATGTGGGTTTATGGAAAATAGACCCCCCCTTTTTTTTTTTTGTGAGAACACAAGTTTGCTTGATAAAAGGTAATAGTGTTGACCTAACAGACTTAGACTTCCATAAAGTTTTGGACTTGGTACTGCTCAACATTCTGATTTAAAAAATTAGAATATAAAATTAATATGGCACTCATTAAATGGATTAAAAACTGCCTAAACTGCAAACTGTTAACTATAACTGCAAACAGGGAATTGTCACAAACAGGTTTGTTTCCAGTGGGGTCCTGCAGGGCTCAGTTCTTGGTCCTATGCTATTTAACATTTTTATCAATGACCTGGAAGAAAGCAAAATCATCACTGATAAAGTTTGCAGAGGACACAAAAATTGGGAGTGTGCTAAATAATGAGTACAAGTCACGGATTCAGAGCTATCTGGATCGCTTGGTAAAATGGGCACAGGCAAACAATATGCATTCAATACAGCTAAATGTAAATGTATACGTCTAGGAACAAAGAATGTAGGCCATACTTACAGGATGGGGGACTCAATCCTGGGAACCAGTGACTCTGAAAAAGATTTGGGGGTTGTAGTGGATAGTTAACTGAACATGAACTCCCAGTGTGGCATTGTGGCCAAAAGAGCTAATGAGACCCTTGGATGCATAAACAGGGGAAACTCGAATAGGAGTAGAGAGGTTATTTTACCTCTGTACTTGGCATTGATGTGACTGATGCTGGAATACTATGTCCAGGTCTGGTGTCCACAATTCAAGAAGGATGTTGATAAATCGGAAAGGGTTCAGAGAAGAGCCACAAGAATGATTAAAGGTTTAGAAAACATACTGTATGGTGATAAACTCAAGGAGCTCAATCTGTTTAGTTTAACGAAGAGAAGGTGGAGGGGTGACTTGATTACAGTCTACAAGTACCTACATGGGGAACAAATACTTAATAAAGGACTCCTCTTCTATCTAGCTGAGAAAGGTATAACATGATTCAATGGCTGAAAGTTAAAGCTAGATAAATTCAGACTGTGCGAGTAATTAATCATTGGAATAGTGTACGGTCATGGTATACTCTCCATGATGACAATTTTAAAATCAAGATTGGATTTTTTTTTTTTTTTTTTTTAAAAAGACCAGCTCTAGGAATTATCTGGGGGAAGTTCTATGGCCTGTGCTATACAGGAGGTTAGATTAGATAATCATAATGATCCCTTCTGGTCTTAGAATCTGTGAACTCCCATTCATCCATGTCAGAAAATGACTCACTGAGGACAGCAGGCTGCTCACCTCTGGGCAGTGGCAGGACCCAGCTGACTCCACCCATAGAGAAGCCCTTGGCATCATGGAACAGACCAGGGGGTCCTAACCACCCTACTCTACTTGTGCCTCTTGTTCTGGCTCCAAAGGACTTAAAATATGTGGGGGTGCAACCAGCCAGGTATCCGGGGCAGGGCAGCAGCGGGGAGAGCTGGCAGTGAGTCACCAGTGGTCAAAGAAGGGAGGAGAGGGAAAGCAGCAAATTGCCGCTGAGGCTGAGCTTCCATCCCCCCTATCTGAATGCAAGGGACTCCCTGCACACACTCTCCATTGCTATCCTGCCCTGTCCTGGACACCTGGTCAGCCACAGCCCCACGTCCCCTGACAACCTCATTTCACCCCCACCCCATTTGAAAGCCAACGGCCTAGATTGAGCAAGGTGCAACAGCCAGGACAGAGAGGCTGAAATGGGGAAAATAAATCATGAGTTTACCTTCATTTCTGTAGCTGGTGCTGGGAACTCACTGGCACGAGGGAAAAGTAACAGAACCAATATAACGATCACAGCAGAGAAGAAAACCATAATGAGAGAGAATCTGGGGAAAGAATCGGACAGGAAGAATCCCACTGTTAGGTCTCCCAGTGACACAGCTCCTTTTATAAATGAGACATTAACACTGCTCATATTTTGTCCATACCACATTAAACAAACCAACATCCCCATATCCCCCTTCTCGGCCTAACCCCAGCCCAGGTATTTAGTGCAGCCACAGGTCTCCAAAAAAAGCAGCCGTCACAAATTCAAAGGAATTCTACTCTTCTTTTGTCTTTCCCATTAAGATATAAAGGAAAGTGCCAACATCCTGAAATGAAAGATAGTCACTCCCCATAAATCAGAGACACTGGTAGTGAAGCAGTACACAGAAAATCTGATTTTCAAAACTGCTTAGCGCAACTGGTCACACAATTTCCACTTTAACCCCTAGGTAGCATTGAAAATCTCAGCCTTGCAGAGTAAGGTTTGACTTGGATGTTTTGCTGGAGCCTGATATTGGATAGTCTCTGTACTGCCTACCCATAAGAGCACTGGGCAATAGTTACGTTTGCTTGAATCAATCATTGTAATTATTTACTCGACTTTCATGGGGGTGAATCTTGGCTCAGTGAGCAAAGACTTAAAAAAACAGATGAGTCTCTTAGTCAATCAGCATCCTGTCCCAGAACCACACAAGGGCTTTTAGAGTGACAAGCTCCTGAAGTGATTTAATCTTCACTGCTGCAGCAAAATGACAAATGGGAAAGGCCAAGTCCTGGAAAAGTGCCTTTAGGAATGAATATATATATATGACAGTTCACACCCCAAATCTGCCAATAATCCTTCCCACCCTACTTGGTATGTACAGGTACTCTACACACTATAGCACTCTACGGAGAGAGGACAGACTGCAAATGAGCTGGCTAGTGTTTATGGACTCAATCTAACTCCCACTGAAGTTAATGAGAGTCTGCTATTAACAGGAGATTAAAATGGATCCTATTCAAGCTGTGAGGAATTAAAGAAACAGTGCCCTAAAGTCCAGATGTATGAGGACAGTCAGGCATTTCAGCTCTAATAACTTTAGCTTTCTTTATCCAGAAGGCTACATCTCCTTACCTTGCAAGACCGGAAGTCCTGGATAACAGCATGCAGAGCAGCAACATCAAGACACCGAGCAGCGCTATGATAAATACTCCTGGCCCCACCCCGAGCACAGTGCCAGCCATTCTGGAGAAGAGAGAAAGCATCGGCAAACCTGCTTAGCTGGCCTCCTCTATCACAGAGAATAGATTTTCTCTGCAGGTTCCATTTTTCCTTCCTTTAAAACACGTAATTATTCAAAACTAAAAACAAATCCTTTAACATTAACAATCTAAGTGCAAAGAACATCCTGGGAAACTAACTACTATCTCCTCAAGCTAGTAATTTCATCTGGTAATTATTCTTCAGGTAATGCTATGTGATGACACTGGAAGTGTAAGAACAAGATTTTTGTTTTAGGACTAGTTGTTAACTATATTCTATTTACCCAAATTCCAGCTTCATATGGACTTTTTAAAAACTAAATTCCTATTCTAAACTGTTATGTAGTGTTGTGTGTACTATTAAATGCATTCCACCCAAGAGGAATGAAGTGATCCTAGTGTGTAGTTTGTGTATCATTTGCTAAATATGTAGACCATTTTGGGAGCCAGCTAGATGAAAGGTGCTACATAAATAAAGGTTATTATTACAAAAGAATCGATGCTCAGTACATCAGCCAAATACACTAAGGGTAGGTCCACACTACCCGCCCAATTCGGCGGGTAGAGATCGATCTTCTGGGATCGATTTATCACATCTCATCTGGACGCGATAGATTGATCCCAGAAGCGCTCCCCCGTTGACTGCGGAACTCCTGCTCGCCGAGAGGAGGAAGCGCTGTCGACGGGGGAGCTTGCCTGTGCCGCGTGGACCCGCAGTAAGTAAATTTAGTTTGATCTAGGAAACGTCGACTTCAGCTACGCTATTCTCGTAGCTGAAGTTGCGTTTCCTAGATCGATCCCCCGCCCCAGTGTGGACCTGCCCTAAGAGAGTTTAGCATACTGTATATTTTATGACAGGTTTCAGAATGGTAACCGTGTTAGTCTGTATCAGCAAAAACAACATTTTGGGTTTTAACCCACGAAAGCTTATGCCCAAATAAATGTGTTAGTCTCTAAGGTGCTATAAGGACTCCTCCTTTTTGTGTATTTTATATATGCTTTCAAATTTATGTGAATTTCCTTTCACTGATGACGTCTGGCATTTGGCATGATTAATGTTTAACTATCTATTAACCTCTTCTACTACAAGCTGGGACAATACATTTTTCACTCACCAATGAAAGCTACTAATGGGTTACGTTCACCCACAGTCCATCTGCATGGTAGGAAAACAGTTCTGGTCATTTCCCCCCGCACAGAAATAATCTGGAGTTTCCAGGAAGTTCATCACCTAGAAGTGGTCCAACTGGCACCCCACAGGCCGGATCCAGCCCTTGGGACGATTCTGTCCAGACCGGCAGCATTTTGCTCTACACAATGGGGTCCTCCACGTGGGTGTGACTTTGCAGGTACTGCAAGGTCCCACCACGTGGCCGGCCCGACACCATTTTGTTTCTGTGTGGCCTAAAGCAGTGCCGCACCACTAGGTGTGAGGCCCAGGTCCCTGAGGGATAGGAGCACCCAACTGTCTGCTGGTGTGCCACTGGCACCCATCTGAGAGGGGGATGGCCATGCTGAGAGGACCCATAAGAACCATACTGGCAGATTTCCTGGGTCGGAGGCCCAGACGGGGCACAGGAACAGGCTTTACAGTGGGGGCGCTGAGAGCCATGGAACCGAACTGTAACCCCTGGATATGATGGGAACCACTTCCAGCCAGGGGGGGCTGCAGCACCTATGGGCGGATCCGCACAGGTATTTCGGCTCCCAACTGCCACGGACCTCAACTCGCCTCCAGGCTCGGGGGAGGGGCCAGGCGCAGCCTCAGCCGCCCTGGGGGCCGTTATGCGCGGACCCCGCCAGGGGCCCCGGGCGCGAGAACGGGAGGCGGCCTGGAGCGCTCCCGCCAGCGAGCCTGCCGAGCTCGGGAAGCGACTCCCGCCCTGCCCTGCCGGAGCCAGCGCCTCAGAGCCGGCCGCGCGCGGGGAGCCGGGCCGGCTGGAGGGAGCTGGGCGCGCGCTCGCGTCACGGCCACTCGAGTTGCCGGGGAAGCCCCGGTCTGGCCCTGGGGTCGGTCTCGCGGATAGGGCGGCACCAGCCGGGCCAAAGGCGTCAGCTCCTACCTGCGCCCGGGCCCCGACACTCGCGGGCTTCGCTTAGCGCTTTCCTCCGGCTGCTCGAGCTCAAACGACGGGGCGCCAAAGCGAGCCAATCGCAGATAAGCTTCTATTCCGGGCTGTGGCTATGCACCAGTCAGCATCCCCCTCTCATCAGCACCTCTCTCTCCTCTTGTCCGCTCTTTGCGGCCGGTTTCCCCGGGCAACCAGCAGGCCCGCACGTGTTGAAATTTGCCATCTGATTGGTTAGTGCGCACCGTTGAACGCCAATCAATGAGGCCCGCTCCGCTACTCCGCACCGCTATTGGTTAAAACTCCCTGCCCCGTCCACGGCGGAGCAACTCTCGGCCCCGGCACGTGACAGGCGGTCTGCGGCTGAGGGAGGAGAATAGCAGCTTGGCTCGCGGCGATCGGGGAGGGAGACCCCGGCGCAGCCCCGCCCCCAGCCGTGGCCGCGCAGGGTCTGAGTGGCCAGTTCCTCCCCCCGGAGCGATCTGACCCCTTGCGGGCGAGGCTCGTGCAACAGCCCATCAGCCACACAGGCCGAGCAGGCCACGCGCCGCGCCGCGCCACGGGGAAACGTGGCCACCGCTCCCTGCCCCAGGAATCCCCTCGTGGGGGGCCTTGTTCTGTGACGCTTCCCTCTGCCTCAGGCTGCAGTGACTCCTGAGGAGCCCTGCAGGCTCTGGGGATGGAGGGGCACGTGGGCAATGTGTCCTGCCCTGCCCCCTTCCTGTGCATGGAGCCCCTCCCCTCTCCTCTGAGATCTGCCCTTCCCTAGGGTTACCATACGTCCGGGTTTTCCCGGACATGTCCGGCTTTTGGGGCCTCAAATCCTCATCCGGGAGGAAATCCCAAAAAGCCGGACATGTCCGGGAAAATAGGGAGGGAGGGGTCGTGATGCGCCGCTGGGGCCGGCGGTGCTTGGCCGGGGGCCACGGCAGGCCAGAGCCCCAGGGCCCGAGCCGGGCGGGAGACCCCGGGGCCAGAGCCTCTTGGCCTGGGCCGGCCGCCAGAGAGAGCCTCTCGGCCGGGGGGGGCTGGACTGGGCCCTGCCCCAGCTTACCTGCTGCCTCCCTGTTTCAGGCTTCCTGCGAACATTTGATTCGCGGGAAGCAGGGGAGGGGGAGGAGCAGAGGGGGCGGAGCGTTCAGGGGAGGGGGCAGAGTTGGGGCGGGGACTTTGGGGGAGAGGCGGAGTTGGGGCGGGGCCGGGGCCCTGTGGAGTGTCCTCCTTTTTAAAAATTAAAATATGGTAACCCTACCTTCCCGGCCGTTTGCCTGAGTCTCATGCCAACCCCAAGGCTAGTTCAGCTGGGTCCCTTTGCTTTCACGGATACTAAACTCCCTAGGTCCCAGCCATTTCACTCACTGCCCCTGGACTCCTGCACCACAGGCCTCTGTTGTGTTTGGGTTTAGCCAGATCTCATATTGAACAGGCAGAGGGATCAGCTTGTCCTCTGTGCCTCAGTGAGGCTGAAGAAGTCCCACCAGTCCCTGTGTCTAGCCCTCAGACAGCTCCATAAAATGTGGGTGACCACCCCACTAGAGACAACCCCTCACATGTCTGACTCCCTCCAAGTCTGTCAGCTCTCCTTCATGTGTGTGACCCCCTGACTGAAGGAACACCCTCCAACCAGCCAGCCCCCTCCATGTGTGTGAATCCTGCAAATGAGGGAGCCCCCTCTCTTGTCTGATACCATATAGACTGAGGAATCTTCTCCCCCTGACCCCCTATACCACCAGCCTGTTGGGAAAACTCTCCTGAGCAACAGTTTTGACATGTTAAATCCCCCTCCCCATCCCACTGCACCTCTCCTCCTCCATTAGGCCCCACCTCTCCATGCCCCCAAATTCTTCTTTTCACCTCCTTGAAGACCCCTCCCTCTGCTCTCATCTTGTTCTTAAAAGGATACTCCTGCTAACCAAATTACAAACGCTAAAAATATAATAAAATGGTTACAAACACATCAAAACTCATTTATAAATGTTTTACCATAAAGACATTTGAACAATTCCTTTTTAATCTTTATACTTACTGTTCTACAACTATTTTCATAGCGGTTATTATCAGGGGCTGAACTTACAATGGTCAAAGCTATAATAGTGGGCGTCACCACCACAGCCATGGAAACAACCAGTAAGGAGAAGGTACTGTGTAGCTGCTATGTGGAGCAGCCCAACAGGGTGATGACAGAGAACATCTTGCTTTTATTTTTTCAGTTCAAGTACTGAGGCTTGGTGGAGGCCGTGAGGTGGTGACTGGAGATGTCTGTGGGGTTGAGAATTTGAGGAAGTTGTTGGATCTCCGCTGATGGGAGGGGGAGGAAATCTTGGAACATGTCTCTTCCTTGACATCAACTCTGTCACTTTCATGAGGTAAAGGAAAGTTTAATCAGTATAAATATTAACTGGAGGCAAAAAGGTGATCAAAGGATGTTCTGATTAATAGAAACTGGATTTGACAAAAATAGCAAATTGCATTGTTTCTGTCTGTTGGGCAAGCAGCTTTTGAAGCCAAACAGGAAGATGCAGACAATTCTACTGTGTGATACTGGAAGCTCCATTCTTGTTCCTTGTCATTTAATAAACGTCTTTCCGTAGTAAATTATTAAGTCAGGATTTTCTCTGGTCTGGGCCTGCCGAAGTGAGATGAGAGGACAGGAAATCAAACAAACAAGCCTTCCATTGGCATCACTGTCTCATTGTGTTTCATGAAAGGTGTCACTCTTCACAATTTTTTTTAAAGTGGGCTCTCTTTGATAGCTGTGCTCAGCAACTCTCAAACAAGGGCTCTCTGCTGTTATTCACAGACATGATTAATTTGCTGTTTCCATCAATCAGAAGATCCCTGCACTGACAGAATGCAACTGGGTATTTGAATAGATTCCTGCCTTAGGTTTTCTATGGTCAGATCAAGGATGGCCTGAACCAGCCCAGCCCACTCAACTTTAGGGAAATTTGGATCACACTCTGAACTCTGTGGCTCAGGGCTCTCCCTGGTTACATTCAGGGATAAAACTTGGTTCTTTTAGTATCTGTAACATTTTCTGAAAAGGCAATGGCAAAATACAAATGCCTGCATGCAGCCCCATGTTTAGGATCACTCAAATAGGGAAAATATGTTCAGTTTAAGTAACAGTTAGATGTTTTTTGTAACTGCCAGCCTTGCAGATTCCACCTGGGATCTGAGAACCAGGCTGGGCTCTTCACCGTTACGTATTATCCTCATTAATAAAGATCCTGCAGAACCAGATTATGCCCAGACTGATATCTGTGAAATCCCCATTGCCTACAATCGATCTGCACAAGTGTAACTGACTGAAACTGGGTAAACAATTCGGTTGCTGATGCACAAGGAATAGACTCCTGCTCCTTCATCTATAGCTGTGTTGGCTCTAATAGGAGGAAAGATCAGAAAAATTTATCCCTGTCACTAAAGTCAGCAAGCAGGTCTGTGTCTGCATATACACAGGGAGTAGGTTTAATAAGTAAGATGTTATTTTAAACTTGATCACTTTTTAGAGCAGAACTACAATTTAAGCTTCCAAATCCTCCAACACCTTCTCTGTGCATGCTGTGCTCAGGTCACACCTGGGTAACGGTCTGTGTAATGGGGCCTACAAAACCCATACTGAGCTTAAACAGAGAAGGGAAGAAAACCTCTCCTGTTTACAAGCAAGCAGCTTGGTTACACCCCCATGCAGCTGTCAGAGCTACCAATCATGGAGACAGGTACCCACAGCTGCAACCAATGGGGAAACAAGGAGGGAGTACAGAGATGGAAGGGGAGGTGGTGTAGGACAACAAAGGGGTAACAGACATGCACCAGGCTGCTTCCAAGAAAGTAACCAAGCGACTGAAGCAAACTGAAAGCTGTAAAATTAAAGGACTGCTAGCCTTAATTAGAGGTGAAGGTTCAGGTATTGACCTTACCGAAGACAGGCTAAGGATGGTCATCCCGGAGAAGCTGGGGCCCCTCGAAAGACCATACCAAGAGACTGTGAGAGCCTGAAATAGCTCTCACCAAGATAATAAGTGGGAGGCATTGACCTTCCTTTGCTCCTTAGGGAGGAAAATCTCAAGATCTTGGAATGAAAGGCTAAGTCTACACTGCCCAGTTAGCCTGGGTAATTCACACCGGGGTTAGCCTAGCCCAGGTATGAGCAACCCCCAAATGGGTTACTAATTCTACTGGTGTTACTGTGTTATAACTGTTGCTGTTCTTACCCCTGTGTGTCTGGGGGGTGCATCCCATGGCTCTGTGTGCGGAAGACATTCTATGATTCTTTCCCAGTCAACCGTGTTAATTAAGGGAGAACCTATATGTCCTTTGTGGGAGATCCTATTGGGATCCAGGAAGGCATCACAGGACTATCAGCACTTGAGTGATTTTGCCTGTGGGTTTCAGCCTGAGGGTTTGTCTACACTTACAGTGCTGCAGCTGTGCCATTGTAGTGCTTAGTGAAGATGCTTCCTACACCAATGTAAGGTGTAGGTGCTCCACCTCCCTGAGAGGCCATAGCTATGTTGATGGGAGAAGCCTTCTATGATCGCGGTAGATCAGGCCCTGCAGCCCCCTGCTGGAGGCCTCGTGGCCCTGCCATAGCCTGCCCCAGAAAAGGGCAGTGGAGAGGGTCCTCCAAGCTGCCTAGAGTGACTATATGGGACATGGCCAATCAGAAAGGGGCTGCTGGGAACAGCCGATCAGGGCCCAGTAGGCTAGTATAAGAAGAGCTGCAGGGCCAGAGTGAGATCAGTTGCTGCCTGGAGCTGGAGGTGGGAGGACTGGGTGCATAGCTGACTGGCTGGAAGAGCTGCAGGACTGCGCCTAGGGAAGACTACCAAAGACCAGGTGCCTGGCTGGCTGGAAGAGCAGCAGGACCATGGACAGGTCAGTGTGGGCAGGCTGACCTGAGGGGACTGAGCCCAGAACCTAGCCAGACTAGCCGAGTGTATTGTGATGTGCCCTCCTGGTCTGGTTGAAGACTGAGCCCAAGGGAGGGCTACCGAAAGGACACCAACCGAGGGTACTGAGATGGGCCCCTGTTGGGCTGTTAAAGAAGGCAATTTCTCTGGGGAGGAAGCTTTGGTGCTACAGCCCCATACCAGGGCTGTGAGAAAGAACAAGAGACCGTATACCCTGGAA